ACTAAATTAAAATCTCTTTTAAACTAATTCGCCCAAACCCTGCCCATCATTCATACTCATTTCTCAGATGGGATGGTGGGCCAAATCAAAGGTTACAATGGGCCAACTTTGGCCAGCGGGCCCTAATTAGGGAATCTCTGCTTTAGACAAACAGATTAACCCTCTTCTCGTGTTCACACCCCGCCCCTTACTTTAGTGTTCCCGATCAGAATTGACCGCTCTGTTTTACCTGCTCTTTTATAAGCACAAAAAACATTGTTCACCACCAAATTTTTATTCAACATTCCATAGCTGTGAACAATATTTCAAAGTAGTGTTCAACACAAATTTATTGAATTAGACCTATAAAACCTGTAGTGAAAATACAAACAGGCACTGAAAGTGTTTTGTAAAATGAACAATAGATAACAGAAATCAAAATACTTTGTTTCATTACCAATAGACAGCTCGCTAAAATATCTATCACAGGGTCTGACCAAAGAAATTGACATTTATCAATCAGCAATGCACAAACAACATGGTATCCTTTCCACTGATTACACTTTGGTATTTTTTGAGCTAGATGATAACGGTCTAATCCAATAAAATAAATGATGCTAAACCAAGCTAAAAGTGCTCCTGTTAGATCGAAAGAAAGAAAGAAAGAAAGAAAGAGAAAGAAAAAAAAAGAAATGAACACACACACACACACACACAGATGGGTTCACATAACAGACGCCTGTCTAGTCTGTGTAAAGATATGGTACATTGCTTCATCAGGAAGTTGATTCTCGTTGGAGGATCCAACATTATCTCATGGCCATTCATAACTTTTTGATTTAGTGGCTAATCCATATGAATTCGTACAATTTAGTAAGATTTTCTTATGTCCAATAACGATTGGGTTTAGGTGTGGGGTTTGGTGCCATGCCTCCTTTAAAAATTTTACATTTTACAAATTAGCCACTAAACTGACCAAACGTAAAATAGTTACATTTCCTCGTTAGATCAGGCTGGAGGATCAGCACAAAAGTGCGCAAAAGAGATGTGTGCCTGCAAAACACATTGTTCAGTCTGAAATGTGTGTAAGTGGATGTGTATGGGGATGTTTTCTGTCTGATGAATGAATATAGTCTGGACACCCATTCATTTCCTATGGCGGTCACTTTTGAGCGGGAACACCACAAGTGTAACAAGGTTTATAAAAACACTCAAAATACAATGAAAGAGGTGATCATCCCTTTTATTTGTTCTACTGCATGGTGTGATAGATATCATAAGGTCTTGAGATAATCCGATGTAGAACACAATATATAAAAGTGTTTTTAGTAGTAAATCGGTCAGATTTGACTCAAACATGACAGGAAGGTTAACATGGTATTTTGTGTGGCTTATTGAAACAATGGTTCAGGTTTACAAGTTCACTCTATTGAACTAAGTTTATTACTGTACAATCTGTGCTTGTAATGTTTTTATACCTGGTCGATTCGATCACTTGTAGACGATTCCTGCTTGCACCTGCTTTTTAATCTACTTTGACTACTTTTGGATCTTCTTGAGGACGGGGTGTAAAAGCTGTGTGCCTTTTATGATCTTTAAAACAGCACAATTGTGATACAAATGGATTTTAAAAGGAGACAAAAGAAAATGATACAGAGAGAAGCAGCTTTTGTTTCATCTCCGAGTGCCAGAAACCACGTCAAGCGCTGTGGGTTTTTGTGAGAACACTGTGAGAGAACATTGTGTACATTTGTTTTTTACCTTCAAACCAAACTCACAATTTCTGATGCCAAAGTTTGAATCCAGCCTGACTAGCAGTAACCCATCCCATAATGTTTTTAATAATTAGGTCAGCAGGCAGAGAGGATGGTCTTTTGTGATTGTTCGAACACATTCGACTACATGAGGGTCAATGAAGTGCTCAAAAGTGGACGAGCTCAAAACATTTATGACCCTGTTTATATCACATCCGGAGACCCAGAATACAGTCTTGAAGCATCTTTTGTCCGCTGAGAAACTGAGCAAGAATAAGCATGACTTTCTTTTGTGGCAAGTAACCCAGTTACAGATCAACAGAAGTGCAATTCAGTCTCCTAACAGTCTGGGACAAACAAATAATTTCTGATGTGGGTTGATCCTTATTACGTAGATTAAACTGAGGAGCATTCATTAGGCATACGTGCTTTGATATGTGAAACAGGCCTCCACATGCATTCAGGGACCAGACCCTTTAAAAGAATAGAGCTCACCCTCGCTGCACTCTTGAGGGGGTGTGGATTTCACACCGCGTGGGTGGATGAACGGGTGGGTGGATGGGTGAATTTGCTCCTCACAGGCCAGGCTGGGAAAATGAGAATAAAAAGAAGATAAAAAAACAGTGAAATAGCAGGAGGACGTGTCGATGTGTGTGTTTGCGAAGGGAGAGATGGTCTGAGTTGCTCCTGTAGCCCTGTGCCATGGGTATAAATAGCTCTGCAGGTATGGAGTAAAAGAGAAAAGTAGGTCAGCTTCAGACTGATCGCCTTCTCTTGGGGGCCCAAAACAAAATATCTGTCACACACAAGGCTACAATCTTCTCTTTTTGCATTCAACCATGGTCAAGACCAAGAACACCCAATATGGCCACACAAAAGCAGCCCAGCCCACCCCTTACCTCAGATTATAACACACACTATTGAAACTGACACTCTCCCTCTGTGAAATCAACAGGTGAACAGAGATGTGCTTTACCACATGCTCAGCCCATACTAATGTCTATGGCTGCATCCGAAATTGCATATTCTCTTGAGAAGGTACTTATTTTGAAGACTAGAATATAGGATTCATTTAAATGTAATCGGAACTACATCTGCCATCTTGAGACTGTAGTTTTCCCACTTTTCGATTTAATATTTTTTTTAAAGTCACAATCTGTTTTTGCTTATTTAGTATGAAACGTTATGTTTTTGTATGTAGCCACTGTGTATGTTGAAGTTTTGTTTCTGATCTAGGATCAGTATTTCACAACCACACCCTAAGTTTTATTTATGTAAAACATAATAATAATAACAACAATAATGGTAATAATATACATAATAATACTTTGTTATATACTATAATAATGTGATAAAATAACTTAAAGGGCTAACTGCAGGTTTTAGCAGGGGAAATTTTTAATTTATTGATATAAATTAAATAAAATTCTATTGAATTTGCATAAAAAAATTGACAAAATATAAAGTATTAATATATTATTAACATAATATATTAGAGATACTTTATATATACACACAAACTACTTGTCTAGTGTCAAAGTACCATTGTGCAAAAACATGTTAAAAATCCTTGCTAACTTTTTGACACATAGTTACAATTTTAGTTAGCAAACTGGGTAAATGTAGCATTTATTTCTCCTCTTTGATATTTGTAAAAGCCCCTGAACATTGGCTGGCACAGAGAGAAAAACACACAAACACACACACTCACACAGTTGAAGCCGCCCTGGAACCGTGCCGGGCGTGGGGGATAATAACCGTGCTCCACATTCACACTCGCTGTGTTGTTCGCGAGGAACTGGGTCACGCGCCGTGGCCTACATTTTTAAGGTTTGTTGTCTTCGTTTTTCCCCTCCCCACATTTATTTGGGCTGGCCCCGCCTCGCTGCCGGAGCGCTGAACGGGGGTTGGGGAAGAGCGGCGGTTCGCGCAGTTTGAAGCCGAAAGCCTGAACGCTGCGAGCAGGAGATGCGCCGCGGACAGACGCAGCTTTGACGCGCGTGACAGCAGAGCCAAGCGCGAGCCGAAGAGAAACGCGCGCGTGCCGAGCGAGCTAATACAGAAACATGGACATTTTAATACGACGACAGCTTATAAAGGCACAGTACACCTGTCGTGGACAGCAGCACAATAGAATACAACATGCCTGTTCACACAACTGCTGTTTAAAAAAAATTATATAAAGTAAACAACAACCATTATGACATGAACAGATGTCAGGTATGATCAACACATTTAAATCTGCCAAACATGATTTACACATGTCATATTTGAGGAGGTTTACCTTGTGTTACAGTAGTAGTCCGTGGAAGTCCGTGAAGTGCATGTCAAGTGAGTTCTCCGTCGATTTAGCCGAAATTGTGTTCGTCTTTTTAAAGAAGAAAGAGCTTTATCGGCTGCACATAATTGGGAATAAACCATAAGCAAACTATTCCTATGGTCAAATAAGGCGTTTGGTTTCTTGAAGGAGCTTGTCTTCAATTTAAAAACAACGTTGGCACGGTATGAATTATCCTGTGTTAGTATCAGCGACACTTTACCACAGACAGCTCCTTAATGTGTAAAATGTGGTTTGGCTCTAGGAGCCGCTATTTGGATTCTGATAGAGAGAGACGAAAGCCAATCATAGTTTGGTCACGCTTCACGACACACCCATTAACTCCGCCTCACTCGCGTATCTTCGTCCAATCAACGTGGGGCTTTTTGATAAATGGGCGGAGCCACCATGTCCTAGTTCTAGGCGAATTATAATTCAGCTCAGACTCCGTTTACTCGAGTCACCCGAGCGCGAGTTGACACCCAATCCTCCGCGCTTCTTTATCAATCAGTCATATTAACCCTGACATACGCACACAAAACACAGATATCCCTCCTTCTTTATCATCAAACGGATGTACAACTGATTTATAACATAGTAATAATAATAATAATAACACAAACATTATGCCAGAATGAACACAAAGATTTTTTGTCCCTTGTGTGTTGGCATCCTCAGTATACCTGTTAGTCTTCCTCAGTGTGGTGGGAGAAATATATCCCAATACTTTTTTGTGTGTTTTTACCTTATCTAAAACTGTCCAAACAAACAAACAAATCACTTGACCCTTTTGTTAATGCTTATTAAGCTCTGGAACTAGCAATACTTATGCGTCTTGTATCATTTGAACATTTGAAGTGAATAAATAAACCTTTTGCTTTGAATATAGATGACATCATGACACTAAATAAGCACATCTATCCACTAAACACTAAGAAAGAATCTGCACACTCCCTAAAATCAGCTTTTATTTACACAATCACAGACAACAAGATAAAATGGTGAGTTTTACAATTGAAAATTAGCTACATTCTGCCAAGACAGTAGCTCCCAAGATTGTGGTTTAGGTATCAGGTGACAGCGTCATCCACAGGTGCCACAACCTCGTATCTGAATTGAAGATATCCAAACCACACGTTTTAAAAATCCCCAAATAATGGTCAAATAATGCCCCTTTCTATGGGGGTGAATATATTTACAGACTGTATGAGCAGGCAAAATTGCACAGAGAAAATCTTTGGAGAACTTGCTGATATGCGCTTCTCTTTGGTTATATTTCAGGACTTTGACATCAGGATATTATGCATGGAATGTGCCGAGTATCAGGATAATGCAGCGTGCCATTATAAACCTGACCATTTCAGTTTCAGCTCACGATTTTCCTTTTTAAAGTATCTCTTACCTTTAACTCAAAGAGGACAATGGAGTTGAGCTACTCGCCTGAAAGCGAGTAATTGTCTGTCATGTGACCCCGGGTTTGCTTGGCCATGAAAACTGCTCTGAATGCATGTCATTTCCTATGAAGGCCAAACAGTTCGAAACGAAAATGTGAAGAATGTGAAGAAGCTCTTGTCTGAACTAACACCTAGTTATTAAAGCCTGATACTCCTAGCAAACAAAATCAACACGGTATTTTAAATAATTTCAATACACGGATATCATTGGCGTTATTTCTGATGAACTAAATTGATCTGCTGCCGTTAGAAACGAGCGTGTCAATTTTCCTTTTTTCTTTTGTTTTATAAACAACAAAGTAATTTAGAAAACATATCTTCGTAGAACTGCAGAGATGAATCAGCCGTGTGCTGCTGTTCTCATTCTCTCTCTCGATGAGCGATTATCTCAGCAGTGTCTTTAATTTAGTGGAATAAACCTGCATTATAAACTCTTTACAAATGTCAAAGAGTCCTCTGTATCCATCCATAGCAGTTGGTACATGGCGTCTTGTTGAGCCGGTGGGTTTGACAGGCTGGCGTTCAGAGTTCATATGTTTGTGTTCTTGTCAGATGTCCTAGTGGGGCTTTCCATTCTTTTTCGGGAATGTATTTAAGTAGAAAAAGGGTAGCCGAGGGGTTTTTGAACACCTCAATTCACCCTTTTCATCCCCTTGCCCCACTTTCTCCTAACTCGATAGGCTGGTGCAGAAACATGAGCATCACAACCTATTGGAAGGCACAGAAACAGAACAGCATGAGTACAAAAGTTTTAACAACCTTAAAGGGACGGTTCACCTAGAAATGAACATTTGCGGTATATCTGAATGCATTTCTTCACTACAACATCAGAGACATTTTGTTTAGGAGAAATTGTGGTCCATGCTGTTTATTAAAATGCAAGTCTACAGCTACAGGCACTTTGAGAGTAAAAAAAAAACATTTACAGGCAAAACAGAATTGATTCCTGTGGCTCCTGTCTAACAACATTCTGGACAGAAAGCTTCCTGTCACCCAATTTTGTATATGCGCTGATGTAAACTCACACATGAGCTGATACTGTTTGTTGTATTCATTCATTCATTCATTCAATCATTCATTCTTTCATTCATTTTCTTTTCGCCTTAGTCCCTTTATTAATCCAGGGTCTCCACAGTGGAATGAACCGCCAACTTATCCAGTAGGTTTTTACGCAGCGAATGCCCTTCCAGCTGCAACCCATCTCTGGGAAATGTTTGTTATATTGTTCATTGAAATTTTGTTTAGACTGGATGCTGCAACATATAAAAATGTGAAAACATCCAGAATTTTCTCCTATTTAGTACAGTTTTTTGTCTTTCCTTACATGTGCTACTGTGCCTTGATCAAAAAGCAAAAAAAAAAAAAAAAAAAAAAAAAAAAAAAATATATATATATATATATATATATATATATATATATATATATATATATATATATATATATATATATATATATAGGGGTGTCACGGTGGCGCAATGGGTAGCAAGATCATCTCATAGCAAGAAGGTCGCTGGTTTGAGCCCCGGCTGGGTCAGTTAGTACTTCTTTTAGGAGTTTGCATGTTCTTCCCGTGTTTGTGTGTATGGGTGTTTCCCAGTGTTAGGTTGTGGCTGGAAGGGCATCCGCTGGGTAAAACATATGCTGGATAAGTTTGTGCTTCATTCCGCTGTGGCAACCCCTATATATATATATATATATATATACAGTTGAAGTCAGAATTATTAGCCCCCCTGAATTATTAGGGCCCCTGTTTATTTTTTTTCCCCAATTTCTGTTTAACAGGGAAGATTGTTTCAGGACATTTCTAATCATAATAGTTTTACTAACTCATTTCTAATAACTGATTTATTTTATCTTTGCCATGATGAAAGTAAATAATATTTGACTAGATATTTTTCAAGACACTTCTATACAGCTTAAAGTGACATTCAAAGGCTTAACTAGGTTAATAAGGTGAACTAGGCAGGTTAGGGTAATTAGGCCATAAGGTTAGGTTAAGTTATTGTATAACAGTGATTTGTTCTGTAGATTATCGAAATAAGACTTTCTCTAGAAGAAAAAATATTATCAGACATACTGTGAAAATTTCCTTGCTCTGTTAAAAATCATTTGGGAAATATTTAAAAGAGAAAAAAAAATCAAAAGAGGGCTAATAATTCTGACTTCAACTGTCAGACTTCAACAATATATATTTATGTATGTATATATATATATATATATATATATATATATATATATATATATATATATAAACTAGGGCTGGCCGATAAAATCAGTATCTGTATTTACTGACCGAACACCATTGTCAATATCGATAAAAAATTGTATGAACCGATATAGTTTTATTAAAATGTGGCTGCTGAGCGCGTGCCTTAGAAACAATGATAATAAAACGTAGGGTGTAAGTAAGTAATTTCCAATTGAGTTATGCTCGCGCATTTCCAGGAACATCTAGTTGAAAACATTGGAACTTTTCAGAATGCCGTGAGAGCAACACGATTCTTGTAAGTAGAACTAACCAATCTGCTTCACATGTTGTTTGGAATATATACATTTTAGTAACGGTAGACTAATTACCTCAGACAAACACAGCACACCCAAACACTGCAGTGCTTTTTACTTTTCTCCATAAACTTGTATCGGAGCTGCAGCAATGGTTTGTCCATTTGTCATCCTTTGAGGAAATGGTTGATAGTTATGAGAGACGCCATAAAAAGTGGTGAAGGAAACCACGTGCAAGCGCTTGTCATTTCAGGTCAGAATAACAACACATGTGGAAATGAGTGCTGTGGCTAGCAGCAGTGAGATTGTAAATAATAAGGTGTGAAGATGTCGCCAGAGTGGCTTTTTGGTTTCTTTTCTTGTGCATCTCAGCCACTAGCACCCCATCTGAGAGTTTTTAGCATAGGGAGTAATGTAGTCAATCAACTTCAAAATTTGCAATGTTGCAGTATGTATTTGAATAATGATGGTTTGTTCCTTTACTTGAAAGCTCAGATTTGATTATCATAATTCATTCTATTTACAGAGTTTGAAGTTTACTGTATCATTATTATTCACATCTTAATGTTTGCTTTGATTGTTCATCATTTACACTTTACCATTCCATAACATTTTATTCATAAAGTCTAAGAGTCTCTTTGACACTGAAGTTTATTATAAAGAAATCAGATATTTTGTTTAAATATTTTAGTTTTTGACTGTTTTAGTAATGTTAATAAATTATAATAAAGGGGTTTAAAAAATCCTAATATTTCTAAATGTATTGTTAAAATTTTTTTCAATAATTATCAAAACAGAATGATATAAAACATGATATAGTGTAATAAATTTTTTTTGCAATATCGCCCAACCCTATTAGATACTATGTCTCAAAAAAACAAGCAATACTAATCATACAAAAATAAGACTACAGGAATAAGAATGACTACATTTTGTAAAGGAATAACAACGCAATATGTGCATTAGAATAATCCTTTTATTTACTTTCCTTGACGATGACGTAATGATAATGAAATGATGACGTATTTGTTTTTAGCTGCGTAAAGCTTCAATAAAAATGGTGTTTCCGAATGAATCAGTATGTTGTGTGGCGGGGAGTGGTCGACCACGCACTGCCTGTACTGTTGAAAATATCACCACTGTCAAAGACATGACACTGAGCCAAGAAGACTAAGAAGAAAAAGGTAACGAGTGATATAAATTAGGTGAGGTGGAAAACGTATACATTCATTTATGATTTGTCTTTTTGGCTTAGTCCCTTTATTCATCAAGGGTCGCCACCACGGAATGAACCACCAACTTATCCAGCATGTTTGCGACCCATTGTGCCACTAAAAACGTAAACATATTTTGTAATTTCATCTATTTGCCATATAATTACAAAATATAATAAAGTTGGAGGTAATTTAATGAAATTCTGACAGAAACAATTTTGCTTGGTTTTATTTGAGACACGATGTGTATATATATACAGTTGAAACCAGAAGTTTACACTAGAAATAAAACATAACCATTTAAAAAAATGTCTGATGGTAAATCATACTAAACGTTTACTATTTTAGGTCCGTTAGGATTACATAAATCATTCAAATTTGCTAAATGCCAGAATAATGAGAGTCTTTTTTTTTTTTAGACTTTTTTATTAATTTTTAGACAGTCAAAAGTTTACATAAATTTCCTTGTTTTGTACTTTTCCATTTTTAGCTTTGCTTTTAAACTTTATAACTTCAGATGTTTTGGGTATTCTTCCACAAGCTTCTCACAATAGTTTGAAGGAATTTTGGCCCATTCCTCCTGACAGAATTGGTGTAACTGAGTCAGATTTGTAGGCTGTCTTACTCGCACAAGCTGTTTCAACTCAGCCCACAAATTTTCTATAGGATTGAGATCAGGGCTTTGTGTTGGCCACTCCAAACCATTCACTGTGTTGTCCTTAAAGCACATTTAAACAAAATGTTCAGTATGCTTATGGTCATGGTCCGTTTGGAAGACCCATTTGTCGCCAAGTTTTAATTTCCTAGCTGATGTCTTGAGATGTTGGTTCAGTATTTCTACATAATGTTCTTTCTTCATGATGCCATCTATGCTGTGAAGTAGACCAGTCCCTCCTGCAACAAAACAGCCCCACAACATGATGCTGCCGCCCCCATCCTTCACAGTTGGGATGGTGTTCCTAGGCTTGTAAGCTTTCCCCTTTGTCCTCTAAATGTAACACTGGTCATTATGGCCAAGCAGTTTAATCTTAGCTCCATCAGACCACAGGACGTTTTCTCCAAAAATGATTCTTTTTCCCAGTGTAATTGAGCAAATTGTAATCTGTCTTTTTTGTTGATTCTGGCTTGTTGATTTTCCCATGTTGCCACACGAAGAAGCAGTGTGTTTGAGGTTTTCCTTAAATACTTTTCTACAGTTGTGCCTCCAATTAACTCAAATGTTGTCAAATAGCCAATCAGAAACTTCCGCAACCTTGACACCATCATCTGAGCTTTTTCAGAGGCATAAAAATCCTATTGTATGTAAACTTGAATTCTCTCAAAATTTCTCAAAAAATAACTCTCATTATTTTGCTATTAAGCATAACAGAAACAGATGTAATAATCCTTACTAAAAGAGATAAAGTTATATATAATATATATATATATATATATATATATATATATATATATATATATATATATATATATATATATATATATATGCATCTCCAGCATCAGCTTATGTGTGCATTTGTGTCTGTTTATACATCATAATTTAACAGAAAGCTCCAGACTGTCGTGCCGAAGCAGTGAAATAAAAGTAATAGTGTTATAAAAATGTTCTTTTGCATAGATCAGTGTTTCTCAACTTGTTGGTCATGACCCAATAGTGGGTTGCAGAAGCATTATGGGTCGCTGAGTGGGTTTTAAATTTAGATTTTGACAGATGTGTCTGAAAGCCAGTGATGTTTCTTGTCAGATGTGATTCATGTACGCGAGAAAGACATGTTCCCTTAAAGGCCATTTCAGACGGGACGTAACATTCGCAAGGGTCTGGTTCATTTTCAGTGGGAGAGATGCGGAAAACAGAGTGATTTCACTGGCGGCAGAGAGGCGGCACACACAGTGCTGGAGAATTAACTTTCCTGACCTGTCAGCTGTTATTCTTTGCTCACAGCGCACTCCTCAACTGCACACACAGATGCGGCAGCACACACACAGCGCGTCACTTCATTATGAATTGGGAGGAAAATTACCAGCATGCACCTTCATTTTGACTATGTGGCTCATAACATTAATTTTTTTTAATAAAATTTGGTTTTTTTTTTTGTCTGTTTATTTTATTGTATCAAAAAAACAATTTAATATTCATGTGTGTGTCAATAAGATTAAGGTGGTGCTTGAGTTGAATGTGGAAAATGTGTGGGTCATGGCAAAACCACTTGAGAACCACTGGCATAGAAGAAAATTTTGCTTCCTCAATATTTTGTCAACGGTTTTGTATATAATTTATTTATTCTCAACATGCCAGTGGCTTATTAGCATGCTATAAATCATCATGGGCCACTATTTCAGCTAAAAATCTTCTTCCTTGTTCTAGAATTTTTGGGTGAACTATCCCTTTATGTTGCCAGAATTAACAAGTCAAGATAAAATGTGGATGAAGTCACTGAAATGTTTCTGTTTTCTACCTCAATTGCCCATCCTCTTCTGTCGATCCAAGAATTTCTGTCGCCTATCAGTCGGGATCTCATCCAAGCTGATACCATGGTTGCTCGCCCTTTGTGACGACATAAAGCAATTTGTCAACACATCACACAGAGAGGATTACTGCTTACAATATACACATGATCAAATGTAAATGAAGTTCTCACCCAGGAGTAAGGTCTGGCGGTATAGGTAACGGCTTGTCAAATCCATCCCTCCCAACCAACCAAAATGTTTCTTCTACACCTTTACCCTTTAAGAAAAAGACAGGAGCTCATAGGATTTTCAAAAGCATTGTACTGTGTAGTCTAGTGTGTCTTTCCAGGGTGTTTGCTTTCAGTTTTGGGTAAAGTTACTTTTAAAAGTACTAGATTACAATCTTAATATTTTTTTTTTCAAATAAAGTAACTACATATACTTAGTTACTTTTTAAGGCGGAGTCAATTGTGCCAACAAATTTTAATTTAGTTTTAGTCTTTTGACATAAAATGCCATCAATTCAGTTCAGTTAATTTATTGGTACATGTGGGTAGATTTGTTTGTAGCAAAGTTTGGCATTTCGTCCCCTTAGAATTATAAGGTTCTATCTGCGCTTAGAATGATTGTGAGACATTGAGCTTCAAAGTTTTTGCATTCCATATTGTAAACAGTATGTGTATAACATTTGTGTGTTTTTTTAAATAAAAAGTCTTAAAATGTACACAACTTATAAGAAAAACATCCCATAATGTAAATAAGTTGTCATTTAATAAGAACATGTTTTGTCAGTTTGTCAATCAAATCACACATACACACACTCACATCCTGTATACACATATAAAAAATGTACAGGCAAAGTACATTAAAAAAAAAAAAAAAACTTTATAAAATGTTACAAATTAATCAGAGCGACAATTAATATTGGCACAGAAAAAATGCCATGTCATATTTTAGTCTTCTAAATCATAGTTTTAGTCAATGAACATTTTGGCTTAAGCAAAAAGATTCTTATTAATTAACCTTACAATTGATCTACTCTGTCCAAAACTAGATTCTTCATTGATTTATTTGTACGTCAATGTGTTTGTCAGCAGCAGTGGTCAGAATACTGTGCAACTGACCAATAAACCTGTTTTAAACTGTTTAACTTTGTATGTCCTATACAGTATGTTTGTATCATAAAACACCTAAGTAGATATTTACCAAGTCATACCAAGATCAGTGCATTGTGACATCTCATAGGGTACTTCTAATTTCAGATATGTTCTTTTCGTATATTTTGAAACTGCACAACATCAGTGCATTAAAGAAAAGGCTTTTTTATACACACATTCTGAAATGTGGTGTATTTTGAAACTGCAAAACAGCATCAGCGACTTAAGTGCACATAACAAAAGGTTCATATTATGTGACTAACATTTGTTTAAAGTGTTTTGTTACAAGGAAAGTATAATTTTTGCTTCTTATTTGAAAAGATTAAGATTGCAATAAGCTTTAAAAGTAACTTTGTTTGACACTTTGCTTCACAGTTGTAAAAAAAAGAACTCTCTGTGGGTATGTTCACTTAACTTTTAGTGAAAAAAATATTTAGCATTTTTGAAATGTTTCTCATATGGGTCACAATGTTGTCATAACAAACCTTGTTCACACAGACACCCAGAAATGACTAAAATGCTGAATTACACAACAGGCTATCTGCTAAAATCACTAAAGAAATACAGCACTCTGCTCTTGCTTGTTTGTAACATCTTTGGATGTAACATTTTCAATAGATTGACAAGAGTATCAGATCACCTACATTGAAATTGTGCATATGAACGGACAAAACACAAAAGTTGACCCTTTTTTGATGAAATCATTGTTGTGTTAAAGTACCCTTAAAACATACATTTTACTCTAGTTTTGCTAAAAATGCCATGTTGTCCTTGCTGCAGTCTGTAGCATGATGATGTACAGGATCTGGTCAAATCAAATACTGATCAAATACTTAGTGGACACCATTACAGTAACACACCTATGCTACTGTGACAGCTGGGTTTAGGTTTGGAGTAGAGGTAGATGTTAATAACACACAATGTCATGGGTAATTTAATAATTATTATAAATAATTCTCGTTTCTAGCAACAACCACTCACAAATCTGATCCAAGTGGCTTTGTGCTAGTCTGGACCTCTGAGAACACACTCAAGAGGTCCAGACTAAACCAGACTAAAGGGTGTGGTTGCTTGATTGAATAATTAGCCAACTGAGTAGTTTTTGCTTTAGCTTTTGCAGTTTGCTATTTGCAGTATTTGGATTGATCATATTTATGAGGTGTTTACCCAACACCATTTTAACTTCTTTTGAGTTGGAAAATGTTTTGTGGGAGTAAAACTCAAAAAACAGCTTTTAAATTGCAGGTTTGTGACTGATTGGCTTTTATGTTAGTGTAAACATGTGATTTAATAAAAAAGGTTTTAGTGTGTAATAATATGCATCATGTTTTCCATTTAAATATTTGTGCAAATACTTGTCAAAAGATTAAAAGAAAATCAGCAGATTGACACTTTAGCTCTCAAATTTTTTTATAATATCACAACATTTCGACCTACATGGTCTTCATCAGGTCGAAGCGTTTCAATATTTTTAAAAATGTGAGCGCTAAAGTGCCAGTGTGCCAATTTTCTTTTGATATTTTGCTACTGTGTTTATTTATGATCGAGCACCTGCCTTTGAGCCTTCTAAGATGTGCGCACATTTCTGTTTCAAATACTAGTTAACATAAACAACAGACACAGACTAAATGAGAAGGGTATAACGAAGGTTAGAGCCATCTCCGAATGGGAGAGCCTTCAAGCTCCAAGTTGGCTGTACAAATCTAATTTTTTTATTTATTTAATGTCTTGTACATGACACAGAGTCCAATAATGTGCTTTGTGAATGTCTACACCTACACCAAACCTAAACCCAACCTCACAGTAACCTGATGTGCTTTATTAATATCTGCTCCACCTACACCACCTAAACCCAACCGACTTGTGGTTTAAGTCCCTCCCACTTTAAGGTATATATATATATTAGGGGTGTCAATGTCACGATGCATTGTTGTTGCGATTTTGAATATATTTCAGTATTCTCCAACATCATATACTTTTTTTGTATACTTAAAATGAGATCTTTCAGTAATGTCTGTTTTAACTAAACAGAAACATCAGTTCTTTTTTATTGCTGCTGGATAAATGGGATTATCAAGCAGAAAAACTGTTTGTCACTATCATAAAAATCTGTCATAAATGTAGTATGCATCTTTCTGAGATGCTGCATTTTCATTATTTGACTAACTTTACTGCATGCTGAAGGTGACCCAGCTCTTCAGAAAAATAAAAATCAAGTTCAACACCACCATCTAGTGGACTTGGATTTTATAGTAAATAGTATAATAAATAAGTACAAATAATATAGTAAAATTATCATAATAAAAACACTACACAAATTGTTTATACAAATAATATAATAAAGAATTGCTGTTATATTGATGTAAACTTCCGTATATCTGTCCAATATAGTCATGGAAAATATCATGATACTGTACTGTGTCAATATTTTACCCCACCCCTATATAAAGCATACAGTAGTATACAGTATATACAGTGTACAGTAATCAACATTTGAAGTGGATCAAAATAATTTTTCAAAATTGTCCTAAGACAAGAATGTGTGTTTAATAGTTTTAGGACAACTTTCATGAAAGGTTTGGACCCACTTCAAATGCTCAGTTCTTTATTTGCAGTAAAGTCACCCATAAAAGCCATATTAAATCAGTTTACAGTGATATTATATATCAACATATCAATATCTGTTCTCTTCAACAGAGATGTGAAGTGTGAGAAATGAATCAAACTGACTCTCTATGTTTTCTAAGTTTGTCTGTAAGCTGCAGGCATCACACTTTCAGTTGGTCCAGAGTTAATAATAAACTCTGGATTGAACCCTGAGATAAGAGAGGACGTTTATATCAAAGCATTGTGAAACCACTGAACCTAACAGTCTTAACCAATGTGGGTTTGTTTGGTTTTGTAAATTTTAAACCTACTCTGTAAACGGGAGTTCGCTCAGTTGGATTCAAGCAACAGGCCAGTGGACTGTTTGCTGTTTAAGATACTGACCGGATGCATAATACAGCATTTTTAGCCAATTCGTAAGAGTGTTTTGACAGTGTTGTTGCCTGTACTTGACACATTTCAAAATGCAAAGGAGAAACATTTAGTACATTACAGCCCTGAGTAGTTGGGATTTTCTGTGTTGACTTGTAAGATACAAGCCTTCCTGTATTACAAAGCACTAATAACTGTTTTATTATTCTTTTAGAAAACTAAAAATGGACAACACTAGTTAACCAAATGAAAGAGATTGTATGTTATTGATCAACCATTGCATTGATTTTTTTTCATTTTATTTCATTAGCATTTATGTGGTATTTGCCCACATGTATTTCACATATTTCTCCCCATATATCTCGTACTGCACAGTTCTGAAGTGTGATTAATATATAACTTATATTTATATATGCTTTACTTATATACTAAGTACAACTTAGGAGTGATATTTCACCCTAAAATGAATATTTGTTTGCTGTTTACTCACCCTCAAATTGTGTCAAATATGTGTTTTTCTCTTTTTCTTTGTCGGAAACAAAAGAAGATATTTTAAAGAATGTTGGAAACCGGTAACCATTGACCATTGTAGGAAAAGTACAATTTTCGCGATTTTCTGCTTTCTTCAGTTGTGTTCAACATAATAAAGATATCAAACAGATTTGGAGCAATTGAAGGATGAGCAAATGATGACCTAATTTTCAGTTTGGGGTGAACTATCCCTTTAAGAAGAAAAAAATGTGACTGAGATGATGGCAGAACATTGGAACAGATGTAAGTTATATAATCATGTGATGTGATTATGATATAATAATTTTCTCTCAACAAATATTGAATTAGTTATTGTACTTTCTGTTTAGATCACAGTTATAGGTATAGTCATTTCAATCCAAATAATTTCTCTGAAGGTAAAAGAGCCTGAACTGAAGAAACACGTCAGCGCGTGTGTGTGTTTTCATACCTTGAGCTCGGTCCTGCCCCGAGTATCTATTTTGTAGCCAAGTTTGAGACTGTTTAGGACATCAACTGTACTCTGGTTGACATGAATTCTGTAAGCTGTAGAAACAGGGAAAACACAAATTAACAGAAAACATCTGCACATACGGGGGATCTCAAACAGAAATCATGAACGTGTGTTGCAGAAATACACTTTAAAGCAGAGATGACCAAAGTTGGCCTATGGTAACCTTTGATTTGGCCCACCATCCCATGTGAGAAAAACTTTAGAATGAGGGCTGGGGCAAATGCCTTCAACAGAGATCATCATTTCTTATTTAACGTAACCTTTTGTTTGTTGGTTTGTTTGTTTAATTGTTGAACTACAAAAAAAGTCAACTGAAATGAAAGGTTTCAATTAATTGTTGTGCATGAATCAGATTTTAAAAAATGTAAATACTGTCACTCAAAGATAAAAGACAATACACAAGACATTGATGTGCGAATCAAGACAAAGGCAGGTTCAGCTTGACTCATGTTTTTAGCATTGAACACCATTGTGTTATAAATGTGTTTGCTTATGTTTTTATTATAAGAAGTTCATTAAAAATATAAAAAAAAATAATAATTATTATCAATATGATTGAAGTATGGGCGACGCAGTGGCGCAGTGGGTAGCACGTTCGCCTCACAGCAAGAACGTCGCTCAGTTGGCGTTTCTGTGTGGAGTTTGCATGTTCTTCCTGCGTTCGCGTGGGTTTCCTCCGGGTGCTCCGGTTTCCCCCACAGTCCAAAAACATGCGGTACAGGTAAATGGGTAGGCTAAATTGTCTGCAGTGTATGAGTGTGTGTGTGAATGAGTGTATCATGTGAATGTTTCCCAGAGATGGGTTGCGGCTGGAAAGGCATCCGCTGCGTAAAAACTTGCTGGATAAGTTGGCGGTTCAATCGGCTGTGGCGACCCCAGAATAATAAAGGGACAAAGCCGACAAGAAAATGAATGAATGAATGATTAAAGTATTTTTTATAATATTAATAAAAAATTACTAAGGCAGCTTTAATGTAATAGTTTTTTATATTTACATTTGATATTCACACCCTGAATCCAGTTTGGTTTTTGGTCCTTCATAAGAAAGAGTTTGGGCACACCTGCTTTAAAGTAATGGTGTTTCCTGAGAAAACGCTAGATGGCAGCGTTGTCCTAAACGGACTGGACAGTTCGCTCTAAACTCCACCACATCCTTCACGACTTTCTGTCACTTACTGTAGATAATCTGCCCAACTGCTTTAACCATTTCATCCACAAAATGTAATTAGACAGCACGAGATTTGAGACCTATGAAAATATCTTAAATCTTTTATTTAGGATTAGGGTTAGGATTTTTGAAAATGTTCTGCTCTGTAAACAAACTCTAGATGTAGGTTTTCTTTGCTTGCTTGTAAGATCTAATCTGGTATAATTAGGCACTAATTATTTTATTATGTTTGTCGAAATCTTCAATTATCCAACACAAACAAACCAAACCAAGTCAAGGAGATTATCTATGCCAGAGATGCCCAAAGTAGGGCCAGTAACCTTTGATTTGACCCACTATCCCATCTGAAAAGAGAGGGAGAATGATGGGCATGAGGTTGGGGTGAATGAACGTAACCCTTTGTTTCTTTGTTTTATTGATGATTTACAAAAAAGTCAACTGAGATTTAATGTTTTAATTACATTTTGTAAATGAAGCAGACTTTATTATGTAAATACAGTCTCTTGACAAAAATTGATGTACACGACATTGGAGAGCAAATCAAGGCAAAGGAAGGCACAGGTCAACTAGTGTTTTCAGCAGTGTTTCCATTGCGGTATAAATGAGATGAGTTGTTACTGTAATAATATGTTTATCATAAAATGTTAAAAATTATACTCCATTAATTAATATGATTAAAAGCAAGTTTTCTAGTTATTTTTAAATAATACTGAATAAATTTAAATATAACCAATGTCAAGTTAATGTTATACCATGTGATATATTCAGTTTGGTATATATTTAGCCCACATCATCCCTCAATTAAGTTTGGCTTTTGGCCCTTTATAAGAAAAAGTTTGGGCACCCCTGATCTATGCGATTGACACATTTGCAGCTGCAATGTTTTCTATTGGTGTATTTTTATTTGTGAAATGGTTTCACAATTTAAAATAACTCAGTGTCATTAAATCAATCAGAAATCATTCAAATGTGTTAATTTGCTGCTCATTTATGACTATCAATTTATTATGTCAACGTTGAAACTGTTGAGCTGGAAACATTTAAATATTTTATTAAGAATTTATTAACTAATATAATATTAAAAAGAACTGCATTTTCAAGAAGAGATGAAAACTTTATCGATTTTAAAATGTCTTTACTGTCACTTTTGAAAACTCAAATGCATCCTTGCCACTCAATTTACTGTACATACTTTTTTAAAGTCAATAGCAAACCTTTTATCATGTTTCAAACTTTCTTCTTCAGCACGAAACACCAAGTAACCTTTCTGGGCTAAATATGGAAGAAGGTCTGATTAAAGGTGAGACAGTTCAGGGTGATAGCGGAGGCTGAGTCCTAAGAGGACATTAGCTTTAAAGCAGAATTTTCTTTCTAATTTGGCTTATACTCTTAAAAGCTTACTAGGAACTCTGCACTTTAAGCCCTCTGAGCTTCTCACTGACATGCACTCGCTGATCAGCACACACACATGCACAACTACTGAGTCTTCAAACTGATCCTTAGCAAAGACAAATTCCAGGAATCACGACTTCAGAGACGTTTACAATCGCTGACACGGTTACTATCTGACTTGTGCACGTGCTCATACATATTCAACACGAAACGTTAGTCGGTGTTACTCACGCAACCCTGTGGATTCCATTCGGGAGGCTGTGTTTACTGTGTCCCCGAACAGACAGTATCGAGGCATCTTTAAGCCAACTACACCTGCGACCACTGGACCTGTAACACACACATGAGAATGAGGTTGACTTTTCACTTGTGTGGAGAACAGCATGAGTTGAATTGTGGGAAGGGGGACAGAGGCGACACTGTGCTTACTAATTGGATGAATCTGTTAATTGGATTATGCCTGGGATTTACATTTCACTTGTTCTAGGAATACACCGCTATCAGAGGATCAAGTGTAAATACGCATTTACATTTAGCACTATGTTCAGTGCGTTGATGTAAGACCGGGCCGTTTTTGTCAGTGAAAATCCCATACAAAAAGGAAATGGTTTGTTTGATAATGGATTTAAATAATGAAATTTAAATTTAAGGAACATCTTTTTGGAAATGGGGTCATTTTATCATTCCACTACAGTTAAGAGTGGAGTTTAACCTTTTTGAATTCATTTAGCTGATTTCTGAGTATGCCAAGAGCACTTTTAGCTTAGGTTAGCATAGATCATTGAATCAGATTAGACCATTAGCATGCCATGGGTTGGTCATGTGACACCAAAAACTGGAGTAACAGTGCTGAAAATTCAGATTTGAGCACATAGTGAAATAGAACTGTTGCTTTTCTCACCAGAATGTAGTCCAATGCGAATTTTGACTTTGACGTCAGGCATGTGCCTCATTTTAAATGTACCGATGCAGTGGAGAATGTCCAGGGACATGTTGGCCATCTCTGCAGCGTGGCGGGTACCATTGCGATTGGGAACTCCTGATGCCACCATGTACGCATCACCAATAGTCTCCACCTGTTGAGATACAACACACAAAATGTTCCCTGTGAATTGCAGAACTGGTTTTATGTGCTATTGGTCTAAAACTAAAATATATCTCAGTTCAATTTGAAGACAAAAATAATTTCTTAAGGAAAATTATTTATGAATTTTTGCTGTCATGGTGCTCGTTTAACAGGTACTACTAATACAATCACCGGCCACTTTATTAGGTACACCGTGCCGTGTTGGACCCCCCTTTGCCTTCAGAAGTGCCTTAATCCTTCACAGCATATATTCAACAAGGTACTGGAAATATTCCTCAGAGGTTTTGGTCCATATTACCATGATAGCATAACACAGTTACTGCAGATTTGTCGGCTGCACATCCATGATGCGAATCACCCATTCCACCACATCCCAATAGGGGCTCTATTGGATTGAGTCTGGTGACTGTGGAGGCCATTTGAGTACAGTGAACTCATTGTCATTTTCAAAAAACTAGTCTGAGATGATTTACACTTTATGACATGACGTGTTATACTGCTGGAAGTAGCCATCAGAAAATGTGTTCTCTGTGGTCATAAAGGCATGGACATGGTCAGCAACAATTCTCAGGTAGGCTGTAGCATTGACATGATGCTCATTTGGTACTAATAACCCCAAAGTCAAATGCCACAGCCATATCACCCTGCAGCCAAAGACCGGTTACTCACTGAAGCTAAGTAGGGCTGAGCCTGGTTAGTACCTGGATGGGAGACCACTAGGGAACACCAGGTTGCTGTTGGAAGTGGTGTTAGTGAGGCCAGCAGGGGGCGCTCAACCTGAGGTCTATGTGAGTCCTAATGCCCCAGTAAAAGTGAAGGGGACACTACACTGTCAGTGGGCGCCGTCTTTCGGATGAGACGTTAAACCGAGGTCCTGACTCTCTGTGGTCACTAAAAATCCCATGGCACTTCTCGTGAAAGAGCAGGGGTGTAACACCGGTGTCCTGGCCAAAGTCCCTCTAGTGGCCCATATGATCATGGCCTCCCAATCATCCCCTTCCACCGAATTGGCTCGATCACTGTCCCTCTACTCCACCAATATCTGGTGTGTGGTGAGCGCACTGGCGCCATTGTCCTGTGGCTGCCGTTGCATCATCCAAGTGGATGCTACACACTGGTGGTGATGTGGAGAAACCCCCCTCATGATTGTGAAGCGCTTTGGGTGTATGGCCATACACAATAAATGCGCTATATAAATACACATTACATTACATTACAAAGTGTACCAAGAAAATATCCCACACACCTTTACACCACCAGCCGAAACTTTTGATGCAAGGCAGGATGGATCCATGTTTTCCTGTTGTTGACGACAAATTCTGACCCCTACCATCCGAATGTCACAGCGGAAAACCAATCCAAACCCAATTTTTTCAATCTTCTATTGTCCAATTTTGGTGAGCCTGTGTGAACTGTAGCCTCCTGTTCTTAACTGATAGAAGTGGCACCTGATGTGGTCTTCTGCTGCTGTAGCCCATCCGCTTTAATTTTTGACATGTTGTGCGTTCGGAGATGCTCTTCTGCATACCTTGGTTATAAGGAGTGGTGTATTTGAGTTACTGTTGCCTGTCTATCAGCTAGAACCAGTCTGGCTATTTTCCTGTGACCTCTGGCATCAACGAGGCATTTGCGCCCACAGACTGTCTCTCACTCGATACTTTCTCTTTTTTGGATCATTCTCTATAAACCCTGTATATGGTTGTGCGTGCACCAACACCCATGCCATGTTCAAAGTCACTTCAATCACCTTTCTTTCCCATTCTGATGCTCAGTTTGAATTGCAGATCATCTTGATCATGTCTACATGCCTTAATGCATTGAGTTGCAGCATTGAGTTGCATTAACGATCAATTGGACAGATGTACCTAATAAAGTTGCCGGTGAGTTTATGTACCTTTAAGGCATTACTGCTCAGCTTTTATGAGTATACAGTGTCCTCCACTAATATTAGCACTCTTGGTAAATATGAGCAAGGAAGGCTGTTAGGTCAGAAAGATTACTAGTCATCAAACAGATAGGAATGTACGAATGCACGATGTGAAGTCTATCTAATCTTTCTAATCTTGCTGGCCATATTTAACAAGGGCGCCAAAATTAGTCACTCATTCCTGTCTTATTTGCTGACTAGTCTATTTTTGGACTATTGTGAGATGTCTATTTGATTATCAATGACTGCCCAAATTTAGCCTTGTTTAAGTCAAGATGCTGTTTGGACATCTATTCAAGAGTTCACACTTAGCTGATGATTGATTAAAAAGCTTGTTTGGCATGCTGTCCCGAAAGAGAGCCCTGAGCTCATGATCCTCGAGCCCGGGGCTCCCTCCCGTTGCAAGGCAGGAGGGGAGTTTGAGCTCAGGTAGATCTCGGGAGCTCCCCTGCTGTAAGTAACCAATGAACAGTAAGTGATTGCTCTTGGAGATAACTATATACTAGGAGTATGTCTATGGTGCCGATTTGGATTAGTCAATTAACTTAATTTGCATGTATTTGGATGGTGGGAGGAAACCGGGGAACCCAGGGGAAACCCATGTGAGCATGGGGGGAAACTGGAAACTCCACACAGAAATGTCTGCTGGTTTGGTAAAGCGTGGAACCAGAGACCTTCTTGCTGTGAGGCAACAGTGCTACACACTGGGCCACCGTGTCACCCATCTAGGAAGGAGGAGTAGGGGTGGAAGGGGGAATCTTCAAAACGAAGATAGCAGTGGAATGAAACCCAGGGTATTTATAGTAGTTTAGGTGTCGTCTGATTGGAGCATGTGAATTGGATAATGCGGATCCAGCCGCTAGCAGTCATAATCAATCAATCAATCAAGCCTTTATTTGTCACTACACTTTCGTATAGCGAAATTGGACCCCCCAGACCATACACAACACATCACAAACAACTTTTCAGGGGAGACAGATCTTAGGAGGTAGCATTTAGAAACGAAGAAAGATACATTTGGACAGTTAGGCTAAAAAACACCCCCTCAGCTTGCCCTTGATTAGGACAAAGTAAGAAAAAGGAGAAAAACAGCCCTATCTTAGCATAAGCACACCGGCAAGACACAACATAGACAGAGGGGATGGGAACAGGGGTAATGGAAAACAGTCCGTTGAGTGCGGGCAGCCAACTGGTCCAGCAGCCATTTCCGGCGCAAGTCACAGTCCCGCCCACGCCCCACGTGGGTAAAAGCACACGAAGGCGTTTGGATGGGGATTGGTGGTGAATATTTATCTGTAGATATGTTTGTGTGTGTGTGAGCCTGCATAGTCCAGAGTCCCGCAGGTGTCCTTGACAGGGGCAGGAATTTCAGAGCGTCCGCTTATCTTGCTTACCCAGGGAGTTGTTTACTTCCAGCCGAGGCCGTATGGCAGGAGTAAGAGGAGAGCCGAAAAAAAAAGACAGTAAGATACTTCAACTTTAGGTCAATATCTGCCAATTTCACAGATATTTAATGTCCATCACTCGTCTCCCGATCTGGCCAAAATTTGTTGCAGAGCCGCAAGCTTCACCTCGATGGTTTCCAGTTTGCGGTCAAGGACCATAGTCTGATTCGCGACCCTACCCATCAGTGTTTCAATCAAGCCGGCCAGCCTAGTGGGGTTTTGAGCTGCGCTGACCGCTTTTATCAGTTTCCGATATCCCAGGGCCCCGCATAAGCCCATCAGCAGAAACCCTGTTATCAAAGTTCCGAATAGGTAAATATCTTCAATATGCTCCAGAGACAGAGCAGCTAGACAGAGGACTCTCCACTTCTCCCACCCGTCCAGCACTTATCCAGCTGCGAACGTCCCCGCAGGACAGCTGGGTTCCCCGGAGCCCAGCGATCTCGTTGAGAAGATGGTGTCAATTGCATTCAGAGACCAGTTGATCAAATCCATAACTCCTTTTTCGTTTGGAAAGCAGGACAAGGAGAGCCTCAGAGATAGAATAAGATGAGACAAGAGGTGCTAGCAAGGAGAGATATGGGACGGAGCGGGAGAAAGAGCGACGGCCTTCGCCGAGAGCCAAAGAAGAAGGGGAAGGTGACTATAATGCAATAGCAAAACCACTGAAAGCTTCTGTCAGCTGGAAGTGTTATGAATCAGTTTGTAAGAGAAAGTGTGTTTCTTTCCCAACAAAACTGTTAGGAGAAGATAGTTGGGTCAGAAAGTGTCCAAAACTACAATCCAGTAGTCGCCAGTAGTAAGCATGTGATCCTCTCGAAATTAGTCTATAAACTTCACTTAGACATCTGTTAAACTGAAAGGAACCTTGCTAACCGTTTTGTGCATAATAATATTAACAAAAAAAGAAAGACCCTCAAGTTGTTTTTGGATGACTATTAAACTATGTGTGGTGATGTTGGCGACTACTGGATTGTAGTTTTGGAGACTTTCTGACCCAACTATCTTCTCCTAACAGTTTTGTTGGGAAAGAAACACACTTTCTCTTACAAACTGATTCATAACACTTCCAGCTGACAGAAGCTTCCAGTGGTTTTGCTATTGCATTATAGTCACCTTCCCCTTTTGTGAAGCTCCTTTGGAAAAGTTAGAGAGTTGGACTTGTGATCGGAAGGTTGCAGGTTCGAGTACTGGCTCTGGGATTGTCGGTGGTACAAGGGAATAACCAGCGCTCTCACCACCCACTTGTATGGGTTAAATACAGAGCACAAATTCCTAGTATTGGTCACCATACTTGGCCATGTCAAGACTTTCAATTTTGCTGTAAATCAGAGCTCAGTTATTTGCTCTTTCCATTGTGAATAATGAGTTTAGCTTTGTTTTACCCAATATTAATGTAATATGTATAGACTTGTAAAACAGGATATCATGGTTGAACAATTTCCTGTTCCTTGTCACTAGGTGCACTAAAATCATAAACTATTATTGCCACAATTACTGCCATCCTAATGAAGTATTATAATACTTCATTAGCATTTTGATAAATTATAATTCATTATATTTGTTTATCAAATATATTTTTGATAAAACTGCACTGTTAACATTTTGAGCAAACCTAAAGTTTTCCAATAAAGTGAGTCTTTTCACAGCCTTCTTTTTTGATCTTCAACAAGGGTTTATATGTGGTGGGAACTGTAAGGTACAGGGTTGTACATTTGGCAACTTCTAAAGAAAGGATGTGCAAAAAAATCCTTTAATCTAATACTGTGATATTAATATTGTCTGTTTAGTTCCCTGAAGTCTATAAAAGAAAGATTAAAACCTTCATCAAACCTTATAGACATCGTGGATAGCGATGATTCCATCAAAGTGTGTGTAGAGGTCATTAAGCAGATCGACCACTTCGATGGGTTCACTGAGGGCAGAGATGGTGGTGAAACCCACGATATCACTGAAATACAGTGTGACTTCAGCGAAATGCTCTGGCTTCACTGGCTTCCCTGTTTTTAATGCCAAGGCCACCGACCTGAAAGACAGAGCAGCAGTGTGAGAAATTAGAAGAGCGGGAAATCCAGGGAGAAACGTGAGCATGTTAAGCAGGACTTACTTGGGCAGCATCTGGGCTAGAAGAGCATCAGTTTTCTGTCGCTCTACCTCCAGTTCTTCGGTCCTCTCTCGGATCAGATCCTCCAGGTTTGAGGAGTACTGCTCCAGCATCCTCAACATTGAGTCTATTATGTTAGTCTTCTTTCCTTTGTTCATGCTCTTAAACTGGAAAAAAAGATATAGAATAGGAGATTTATTATATTGTTTTCTCCAATTTTCATTTATATAGTGTGTGATCCTGGACTGCAAAATCAGTCTAATGTTGCACAGGTATATTTTAGTCATAGTCAAATATACTTACTTGCTTACTTCCAGTCCTGTTTTATATTAAAGTTAACTGCAACATGTTGGTGTTTCGTAGCATTCAATTTTACAAGGTGGGTCGTTAGCCCAATGGTCAACCCCCAACCTGGAGGACCATGACATACACACATACACTACGGGCAATTTAGCATACCCAATTCACCCATAGCGCATGTCTTTGGACCAGAGGAAACCCACAAAAACACAGGGAGAGCATGCATACTCCACAGAGAAAGGCCAACTGACCCAGTCGGGGCTTGGACCAGCGACCTAGCGACCTTTTTGCTGTTAGGTGACAGTGCTACTCACTGCGCCTCCATGCCACCCTAGTCAAATATACATTGTATGAAAATAAAATTATAGGTTTTTATATTATGCCAAAATTTTGAATTTTAGGTAAAGATCAACTTTCATGAAGAAATTTTGTGAGTTTCCTACTGTAACTGAACTTTACTTGGACAACTTGAAAGGCTTTTTTCTTAATATTTAGTTTTTTTTAAACCACAAAACTTCAGATTTTAAATTACTTGTATCTCAGACAGATATTATCTTATCACAACAAGCCAAACATCAATGGAAAACCTATTTATTCAGATGATGCATGTAAAATGTATCTTTTTGACTGGATTTGTGGTCCTGGGTCTCTAACTCTCTCTCTCTATCACACACACACACACACACACACACACTGGATGTCACCACATGGATATACTTTATAATAAGAACTTTATATAGGAATAGGAATACAGCTAATATATTATACCAAATAATGTTTTTGAAAATGTAAAGTGCTGAAAGCTTTCTGCTGTGTTTAGGATTAAAAGCCAGATTACACAGTACAAAAATCCAACCCACGCTCATTCTGAAAACGTACCCCTATTTTAATTTCTGGAGAATGCCAAATACATCCCAGGAGCTATGTTTGTTTTGCAGTTTTTGTTTCCACCAGAGGCCACTGTGTACGCTTTTTCAGATGTTAAATATCTCTCGCAAGTGCCATTCGTGCCTGCTGTTCTCATGTAACTCCACCAGAGGATGGATTTACATGCTGTCGACTGACTAAATGATGGACTGACCGCCTGATTGACTGACACACCCTCCTTCTTCGCATAACCCAACCAATAGTTGACCCAATTGACCCGCCCACCCACTTTCCTTAACCCAAACGACAGTGTTTTTAATCTCCAGAAATGTATATAGGGCTACATTTTTAGAATGAGCCTATGTTGCAAAAATCATTATCTTTACAGAAAGTCCCAGAAGACAAAACTTTTAAGTGTCTTGTTTGTGTGTGTGCGCAAATGAAAGAGTTAGTGTGTACCTGTCTGAATATATCCTCAAACGTAGGCCTCTGTTCAGGCTCCTCACTCCAGGCCTGCTTCATGAGCTGAATCACATCTAGCGGAGCTTCATCCATAGACACAGTGGGTCGGCACAGTGGTGGAGGAGAGCGCACCTTTTCTATGATTTCTGTAGACAGAAAAACACAACCGGAGTACTGACAACTTACTACTCTGTATTTAGATCTGCACTCCTTTAAACCAACTCCATCTTTAGATTCACCATTAATTCTGTAAACATGGATGTGGATTGTAATTATGTGGTGGTTTGGTCTAACCTTCAGGAGGCATATCCAACATGCAGAAGGGTGCGCAGCGAGAGATCACCTCCTGCATGATGATAGAAAAGCTGTATACATCTCCTGGATATGTTCCCTTCTTCTTCAGATCAGGATTCCTCAGGATCTCCGGAGCTGTCCAGAACTGATCTGTAGCAAAGATACCGAGGTCAGAAAGACACACTGCCTGACAAAAATATTGTCATCCATCCCAGTTGTAAAAGCAACAAATAATAACATGACTTCTAGTTGATCATTTGTAAAAGTGGCAGAAGGTAGATTTTTCAGATGACTGCATCCCAGTCACAACAAATACTGCAGAAGACCCATTGGAACCCGCATGAACCCGAAATTCTTACAGAAATCAGTCAAGTTTGGTGTTTGAGAGATCTACAGAGTGGATGGCAACATTAACAGCCTGAGGTATCAAGATATTTGTGTTGCCCATTTGTTTTGTTACTCTTCTGTCTTTGTTCCTATTATCTTACGCTACTCTTAGGTGTTTACTGGTCGATCTTCCTGTCATTCATTGTTACAACATCATCATCTCTGCCAATCCACTGATAGGCTAACTGGATTTAAAGGCCTTCAAGTTCATTGTGTGGTGTGCACTCGGCCTTATCGTACATCAAGAGGTTGTTTTTCATTGAATATTTATTGGTAACACTTTACAATAAGGTTCATTAGTTAATGCATTTACTAACATGAACTAATCATGAACAACACTTGTACAGCATTTATTAATCATAATTGAACATTTACTAATGCATAATTAACATTTAAGTCCACGCTTGTTAACATTAGTTAATGCACCATGAGTTAACGTGAACTAACAATGAACTACTGTATTTTTATTAACTAACGTTAACATAAACAAATACAGTAGTAGATGTATTGTTTGATGTTTGTTCATGTTAGTAAATGCATTAATTAACATTAACTAATGAACCTTATTGTAAAGTGTGACCTATTTATTACTTCAGATAATAGTCTGATGTAACATAAGTTCATTTGTTGAACAATTTGTGATTTTTTGTACTTCATTTGTTTATGTATATTAGGTTAGTTTGTGTTTTGCTAGATTAGGTTTTAAGTGTTTTGCTGCTCCTGTATTTTTTTTTTTGTTTGTTTTTTAGTATGATTAGTTTAGAGTGTCACATATATTGAAGATCTTGAGTTTATTCTTTTTATTCTTTATTTTGTAATTTAGATTTATAGGAGAGTTCAATTTAAGGGTTGATTATTAATTAATTTAGTTAATTTGGCCACGACTTATTTATTTTTATATTATTATTTTATATATCTTTTTTTCAGTCCCACTACATATTGGGTGACCTTAACTAATATGCACTCACACTGAAATTAATAATTTGTTACAATGTACTTCATGTGTCATGTGTTTATGTTTTTTTACATTGTACTTATGCTAGATTAAATACATGCATGTAATTACATTGTAATTAATCACTGTAATTACATATATAATACAATGCTGACCATCCCTTACATTTCAACCCATCCCTAAACCTACATTGTAAAAAAACTGCATGAACATTTAGTACTGACAGCATATATTTTTAAGGTCATTATAACTTATTATTCTAAGTTAATCCTGTTTTAACTTAATGTTATTATAATAATAATAAGTAATTTATTATAAGCATAATTGTATTATTATTTATTAAGTTATGCAAGCTGTTTTGTCACTTTAACATCATAGTTCAGTGGAATCATAATTTTAATTTGATTCAGCTTAAAAATTGAAGGCAACCAGGACTATTTTTTACAGTGTACCTATACTCATAGACTCAATGACAACAAAAGTGTTCTGCAGTGCTTTATAAACACAATAAGTGCATAGTATTTATTTTTTGAATGTAAGTACATGTAGTTACAGCCACTTAATATAAAGTAGGACCTTTTTTGTTCAATAATTGTTGATAATTCAGTAAAGACTGCTCAACAACTCCTATCTGCCTCATTGTTGATCTGTGTCATACCTATGTCACTGTCTCTCTTAAATGTTACGGTCTTATCCCTTTTTAACATCTTAACATATGTAACACATGTATCACACATACCCTCTGGTGCGTTGTCCTCCAGGATGATGTTTTGGCAGTTGAGGATTTCATTGAAGCCATAATCTGTAACCTTCAAAACAAATCGACCATCCACCACACAGTTCCGAGACTTCAGGCGTCCATGAATAATGCCCCGATTATGCAAGTACTTCATTCCCTGACAGGGTAAGATAAAGAAGGCATTGAGAAGAAAGTGACAGAGAGTGGGAAACATTTTAATATTTAACAATATTTGCCGTCAACATCTTCATTTTCTAGCGGAGTCGTTTTTTACTCATTGTTATTTGAACCATTCTTCTATCGCCTCAATTCCTCACCCTAATCAGGTCGAGGAGAAGAGAGGATTTGAACATCCAGTCAAGCCTCATTTCCTCATTGTTGAGCAGGTCTTCCAGACTGCCTCTGGTGCAGTGCTCTGTAACAATGCCGAATATACCAGTATCCATAAACAGACCCAGGAACAAGTTCAGATTCTCATGACGCATATCTCTCAGCTGTGGAGAGTGAAGATGAGGACAAACAGAAGAGGAAAAGAGGGTACAGAAGTTGAGTATGTTTCTTTTCAAAACACATACACAGTGTATTAGTTAAATAACCTTTCTTTCATTCTCTCACTTTCTCTCTCCTACCTTGACAAAGATGGTCTGTGTGCTTTCACTGATCTCTGTAATAGAATCTGCACAGGGGCATTTCTTTAACCAGACCCAGTCACCCTGACAGCACAGAATAAAACAATTAAACACAATTCGGGTTCACACACAACCTCCTTGTGACAGTGTTAATCACATTTTCTGTACTTTAGTAAGAGGAAAATAATATGCATAATTCTTTGAAATACATTCTAAAAAGTTATGAAGATTAGAATTCTCTAGTTTTACTGATTGTTTTTTTAACCAAAGATGCAACAAACAGGTAACATACACAATACTTCACTGTGGACATTGAGTTTTTGATCTTGATTTAATGTGTGAGTGGGAAATGGAAAACACAAAGTGCTGTAGATGTTTATAAAAAAAAGTGATTTCACAACATTGGAGCAAAAGTGCAACTGTACTCATTAAAGACTGCATCAGTACTGTCAATTGTTTTCAGCAACACTGGTTTCTAAATTATTTATTAATTTTTTTCCCCATGTGGATCTTACAGTAGTATTTGCAACAGTAGTATGACCCACAAACTAAACCAATCAGCTAAAAGATTAAATATAAATTACAAATATTAATTTGAAGTAAAGACTTACAGTGGGTAAAATAAGTATTGAGCATGTCACAATTTTTGACAGAAAATATCATTCTAAAGGTGCTTTTGACTTGACATTGTCCATACATGCAAAGAAAACAAAGCTAAGTTATGTATAATAATTATGACACAGAAAAAAATTATTGAACACATGAAGAAATGAAGGTATAAAAGGCATGGAAAGCCAAGACAGCAGCTGAATTCATTCAGTAGTTAGAAAGCAACCCTGTCCCTTGTCAGTGTTAATTAATATACCAACTTTGTTGGAATTACGGAGATAAAATTTCAGCAAAACAATGACCCTAAACATAGCCAAGGAAACTTTCAAATGGTTTAAAAAAAAATAAGCTTCTAGAATGGCCCAGTCAATCACCTGATCTGAATCCAATAGAAAACAAAATATATAGCTCGGAGTTCGTAGAAGAGACCCACAGAACCATCAATATATTTAGACTCTGTTGAACTATATAGAATAATCACACCTGAGCAATGCATGCAATTTTATTCTCCTTACAAGATGTGTCTTAAAGCTGTAATTACCAAAACAGCCTACAATGCATTGAGCTATCAGTCACTGAAGCCCTGTGAAATCCTAAAGCAGGTTCCAAATCATCTGTTCTGCCTTTACTGGACCTGCCTACTGCTTTTGATACTGTAAATCATTAGATTCCATGTCCCCCCTCAGGTCAATGGGCATCACTGGAACCTCGCTCTGCTGGTTGGAGTCTTACCAGAGTCTTCTAGGACTGCCTAGAGAGAAAAGTATCCAAATCTCAGCAGTTGATCACAGGGGTACCACAGGGATCTGTTCTTGGTCCCCTACTATTTCCCTAGGAACCATCATACAATTACATGGTTTCACTTATCACTGGTATGCTGATGACATACAGCTCTACATTTCACTTGGGTCAGCCTGATGACCCAACGGTAGCTGCAAGGATCTCTTGTCTTCCCCACAACTTCACACTTCAACACCATTTCTTCATTAACATGATCTAATATTAACTCATCTAATTCAGTGGAAATCTTGGGATGATTCTGGATGACCAGTTGTCCTTCAATGAGCACATTGCCAACATCGATCAAACAGGCTTACACTTTTCAACATCAAAGGCCAAACCCTTCTTGGAACTTCTAGTAAAAGCTCTTTTCATTTCTAGGCTGTACTTCTGCAATACTCTTCTTGCTGAACTCCCATCTTTCTTTAAATCTCTACAAATGATACAGGATGCTTCAGATAGTCTGGTCTTTAATGAGCCAGAGCCCATGTCACACCTGTCTTTATCTTCCTGCACTGGTTACAAGTTAAACCTCATATCAACTTCAAATCAATGATGCTTGCTTACAGAACAGCCACTGAGCGAACCCTTTCACACACTGCTATCCTTTAAATAACAACTAAAAACCCATCTCTTCCGTGAACACTTCAGCAAATAAACTCCCTGCTTACTCTTAGCAGGAAAAATCATGACATACTTATTTTACCCGCTGTATTAAAAAAAATATATCAAAATACTTTAAAGCTTCAATGAGGGAAAGTCAACGCAAATGATTTATTTAAAATAAAAATAAACATTTTTAACCATAAGTGTTCTAACCGTTATTGTTATCATAAATCTATTTCTCGGTAAAGAAATAGAACCTGGAAGTTTTTGTTTCTAGAATGTGACTCTTAATGCTTCTCACTTCCAGTCTGTTTCCTGTTGCTTGACAGTTTTGGCTTCCTTTGGAACATTGTGCATTGTTTGAGGTAAAACACTAAACCTACTGGTCAAAAATGATCTGAAATTATACTTCATAACTTCTTGTTTTTCTGAAAACATGTTGTTGTACCGAATATTAGATTACCTTCTGGTATCCAGTTAAAAAATCACACTTTCTCATGTAATATTGCTTCATCATAGAACCGAACACAATGCCAGTACACAAAAACTCACAAATTTCCCACACCTCAAATACAGCAACATTGGATGTTTCTGGGGTTGATGTGATGTAACTGCGACCAGAGACTGAGTGGCGCGGGGTTTTAACATCTAGCTGACTCTTCAGCATACTCTCGTCATTCAGTTTCTACAGAAAGAAACCAATAATGAGAAAGACATTAAAAACTATACACACAAAAAAAAGAGAGTGAGAGCAAATTCCAAGAAAACACTCATGCCTGTACTTAATTTCATCACACTCGCAGCAAATCACACACTAAAGTTATTTTAGTTTTTATTATTACTACACACTCCTCATTTAGCTTCTACAGAGCCACACAGAGAGAAATAAAAAGAAGTTGACAGTGAGAGAGACATAGACAAAGTAAAATTCAAAGGAAGACCAAAAGGCTTTGAGAGTCCGAGAGTATTTGAGACCGACCCTTCTGCTGAGTGTGGTGTTGATGAAGACCAAGTCATCCAGCGTCAGCACTATCTTAGTGGGGCTTCCTCCTCCTCCAATAAACGCACCAAAAAAACCTCCAGCCCCATATTTTCTGGACACACACATATACACATCATTAAAACGTGTTAAAAACCAGTGCTGTATGCTGCGACTCATACCAAATTCATACCTAACTTGTAGAAAAAGGATGCCTGCACCCGCTATCAACACTATGAAAAACATGAGCAAGAAGAAAAGCGTCACTCCATCCAATCCTGCAGAAAGAAAGAGCAACACAGAATCAGAGCTGATCTTTCAACTGGAATACAATGAATTACTGTTGTTTTTGTTACCTCCACTACATGCGATATAAGGACTAAACCAGCAGTTCGCGTCACTGCTCGGAGACGCTCCAGCAAAATGAATTGACTTCCCCAAGTATTTTAACCCTCCATATTTTCCATATGTGTGTGAAGCTTCCAGGGCGTGTGTGCGATACAGGCTGGACCCAGAGCCGTCTGAATCCAGGACAGCATAGCGGACCTGCATTCCCTCTCCGTTAGTACCTCCCGATATCCGCTGGTTAAAGCCATCAAATTCAAATCCACCCTCGTTTTGAGACAGTAAATCGCCCGATACCCATCGCCCACCACTCGAAGCTCGGCTTTGCTCTGCAGCCATGGCTGTATAATAGATCATGTTATATATGGTCCCAAAAAATGGAGAAACCTGCCAAGAAGAGAGAAAAAACTCACTTTTGGGGACTATAAGGCAATTTTTGGTAACACACATGCTGATATATGTAAAAACCTTTAGATATTTAAGTTCAGTGTTCTTCCTTTTTAACTGAGACAGTCTATAGTTAAGGTTTTGAAAGTGTTTATTATGGTTTGACCTAACTATAAAACACCTGTTTAATTAAAATATGGAATTCATGATTGTTTATGTTGGATTTTTTTTAGAAATCAGTCTTGTGGGTAAGATACTTTCTAATTAACTACAGTTTGAGCTTTTGCTATCCACAAATCATGTACGCCTATTTTAAATTGATACCACTTGTAGTAAAACCTTTGGTAAAGCAAGTTCATACCCATCGTGTTACCTCTTCAGCTGATGTGCTGCCGCGGATTTCAAAGGATTCCTGTGCTGCATTAAAGGCCTCATAAAAGTTTTGTTCCCCTTGGTCCATGGTTACTGTTAAGACCCCATCGTATGCTCGTCGCAGTTTGCTGTCATTGGCCAGGATTGGATATTTTACATTTTCATATGGCAGTGAATAGAGCAGGGTGTCGTATGGAATGAAGATGTACCCTCGGTCAATCATTCTCATTTCCAATGCTGTAGTCAGCAACTGATACTGTTCCTCTCCACCAATCAGGGCAGAGTGCATGCACATGATGACAACTGCACACAACAAATAAAAATAAAGTAATTTGAAAATAAATTATCAAATAAAACAATAAGCTAATGAATATCTCATCAAACTGAGAGACATAACATAATGGCTGAATAAATTAAATTTTTTCATAAAATTTAGTTTTTTAGTAGGCTACACTCACAATAAATATTATTTATTATCAACAAGCTTCAAACATTCATGAAACATTTCCTAACAATGGTTATTTATAGTGAGAAAATATTTTGATTGTTAAAATGATTCACAATGTTTACACTTCCTATAATGTTAACGTTAACGTTAGTTGTTCTCTTGGTTCGTTGCTCTTCTGGACCATTGGTCGATTTGGACCAACAAAAAACACATTAGCCGTTCACTTTAACAATTTTAAAGATTAATCAACTTAAATGTATAAACAATGCCGATTTTTATTATATCTTGCGACCAAACCTACCAAACGTCCAGAATATTTCCGTTGAACGAGTTCCTTTGTTGTTTGTGAGTACAAAAACTGACTGAAAGATGGCCAATCAATCGAAATAAAGTAGGCGGGGTTTGCGGCTCACACAGACAAACAGTTCGCGACCAAAATGGAAGACGGTGAGGTAAGACTGAAGTAACGAAGCACTGAAGAAATGTTAACTGTTTTAGGATATAAATATAAAATATATATTAATGTATATTGTTAAATATTATTTGCAAATGAGGCAGAATACTTCCTTCACCCTCAACCAAATGTTTAGGAGAAATGTTTAATGTGGTCATGTGATAAACATTTCCTGCGTGTAATCAAACTATTTCATAACTAACAATTGGCAATTTAATCATAAATTAATGTTAAAATAGCCGTCATAACATCATTTATCTATATGTGGCTCTTTTTTAAATCTCGGAAGCTATATAATAATAATTAAAAACAGTAAAAACAGTAAATATGGTGGAAGCATTGTTTTTGTTTGCATCCATCAAAATGGTGTGTGTATGCCATGTTCAAAAATATCAACACACCACATAATTAACAGTTGAATCAAACTAAAACTGACAATATGAAGCCACATTAAGTAAAATGATTCTTTTAAGCCATAAACTGTTCAATGTACCATCATGTAAAAACCTTTAGGTAGCTAAATTAAATTTAACGTAAAGGATAAATGTGGTAAAAAATGTTTGACATCTGGCATTTAATATCTAAATCTGAAAATCTGTATATTTTCAGCACAACAAAATATTGAAGTGATTAGCAACACTTTGGAAGCACTGACCATTCAATAGTGATTTTGTTCTCAGAGCATTTTAAAAACCTATTTACGTTTCTAAGCACAAATAAACAGATCTCAGAGAACTCACCCCTTACTCGATCTGTGTCCCGTATTGCCTGTAGGGCTTGCCGTGGCCCCTCTTTGTCCTGTTCCATCGTAACAACCTTACCAACGGGCAAGCCAAGAGCACGCAGGGATGCTGCAAGCTCATGCCCAGTTGCCTCCCACATGTCGCCCTCAGCAGTTACAATCCCAACATGTGCCCAACGGAAGAACCGCAGCACAGAGAAAAGCACCCGGGAGGACAACGGCAGCGGCCGCAGAAAGGTGGGATACATCTCTTCATCCATCTCAGCCTTCAGGCAACCCCAGGATAGGATGCCTTTGTTCCAGTTCTTTGCCAGCAGTGTGGCAGCCGTGCAGTAGCCAGGGTTTGCCGGTCCTAGAAAAGCCGAACCGTAACCCTCCAGCTCGGCAAAGCGTGCCAGGCCTCTGGAGCTGGAGCAATCCTCGTTAATGACTGTGTAATCATACCAGTAGCCTTTATTGAGTTCGGGGTCTTTGTTGATGCGGCTCATGGCTAATCGGGCAGCCAGATCTGGCAGGGCTTTAGAGTACATGGGGTCACATGCCCACGGTCCTACAATGGCAATTTTGAAGGTGGTGCCCCAGGCTTCACAGGGAAAGTATGAAAGCATGACTAGAGGAAGGAGAAAGCAGTTTCCCCACCAGCTGTGGCTGCGTAGCACTGGGGACGAGGACACTGGGCTCGCTGGGGTTTCAGATTTTTGCGATGAGGATTGTTTCCGTCGTCTCTTTCCAGCAGAAGACTGTGTTTGCCATCGAGGGTGGTGGGACTGGCAGAGAAAGCTTGTGTGGTCATTCATTTTATCTTTGTTTTATTGTTGAATATCAGAGACGAAGAGAGAACAGGTGGCACTGAGAGATGTTGTGTGTTTGGTGAGTGTTTTGTCAGTGTGAAGGCTGAAATACTTAGCTCTCGGTTTGGGTTCTACCCACTGAGGGGCACTAGCCCAAAACTATTGCACAATAACCAGCCATCACTGTCTGTTATAGAAATGTGTGTGTGTGTGTGTGTGTGTGTGTGTGTGTGTGTGTGTGTGTGTGTGTGTGTGTGTGTGTGTGTGTGTGTGTGTGTGTGTATGTGCGTGTGTGTTGTGTGTGAGAAAAGCGACATGTAAGAGTTTGGAGAAAGAGAAGGAAATAGAAAGGGACAAAAACAGGAAAGAAAAAAGAAGGTTAGTAAGAATATAGGAGCATAAAATATGTAAAGCATAAATGTTTAGATGATTAGTCCTGCTCCTGGAAATCTACTGTCCTGAAGAATTTAGCTCCAGCTCCAATTAAACACTCCTGAGCCAGCTACTCAAGGTCTCACAGCTGTGTTTAGCAGGGTTTCTGCCGGTTTCACTAAGTTAAATTGAATTCTTTTAAGGCATTTTTAAGACCATCATGAATAACATTTTGGAATTATACAGGGCTGAATGCTGAGCATTTTTTTTTAATATCCCAGTTGGAAAAGTTTTTTAACTTGATCTATCAAAAAGGATTTTAATTGAATACTTTTTAATAATAAAAAGTTAGGTCAGCATCCTAAATAAATGAAGCACTTTTAAACAAATGTTACTGTAAGCAAAGTATTTGAAATTCTATTTTTAAATAAGAAGTAAAAAACTTTATTGAGATGGATTGTTGGTGATTGTAAGAGTGTTAATGGCCAGGGGTGTGTTTCTCAAACAACGACATAACTTGCGGCTGAACTATCATAGTACGATGCATCGGTTGGGAAAAGAACGATGTAATGACGAGTGTCTCCCAAAACCTTAGTTTCTCTGTCGCAGATCTATCGTTTTAACCATGTTAGTTATAATGTAAAACGTTCGTAGTGATGCTCTAAACATGGCGGAGTAACTAGTTCTTTAGAGAAAATTCCCATAATTTTTTTGTGGAAATTATATTTACACACACTCACATTTAAAAAAAAATCTAATATTACTTTTGCACTCGTGTTTCATATTAATTGAAATATATCTGAATGACACATATAGGCCCTATATATGTTTCCTTTACATCTATTATTGAGAATATGCCATATAAAATCACTAAGCTAACACATATTCTAATCTCAAATATGAATCATATAAATCGGTAATGGTTGTAGGCCTAATTTACAGTTGGCTATTTATTAAGAAATGAAAAAAAATCCCACTTAATAATAGTAATAATAATTATTATTATTATTATTATTATTAAGTAAGATATTGTTTGTTTATTTATTTTTTATTTTATTTTTTTGAAAAATCTACTTTTACAATTTGATACTTTCAAACCACTGCAGAACTCTTCGGCAGAAAACAGGCCCATGTCATATAGGCCTACATATACATTTCTTAATAAATAACCTACTATAAATTAAAACTATTAACAAATCCTATATATTTTTGTTTTCACAAGCTTTGGAGACATATCGTAAATTCCGCTTTTAAATAATAGGGCACCTACAGCTTTCATCATAAGCCATGGCTGTGATAAAAATGGCATAAATGGCCACTACGAATGGAACGCAATTGTCAAAGATCTCTCAAACTGAACTGTAAAAATGCTTTGAAAGCAAATTACACGTAAGAGAGATGTCCTTTAAAATGTTAGAATAATCTAAATGAACAGGGCATAGGGGAATAACAGGGAATAGAACACAGCCAGGAACTATGATTGACTCAAGAGATGTAGTTGCAAATATGCAAGTTTGAAATGCAGTTTGCAAGTGTTCGTTGGAACAATGGATTTGGGAAACGTGAAATCAATGAACTATGTTTGTAATGGCGACCTGAATTGGCTTACGATGGTTTTCGGAAATGCACCCCTGATTGGGTAGCTATACATAAACAAGGAAAATAAAGACCTGATAAAAAAAAAAAATAAAAAAAAAAGATTATGACCTACAACACAAAATTTCAGTAGATTTAAGACTTTTTAAGGCCTAAAATTTAGCTTTTGAGATTTGAGACTTTTTAAGACCCTGGTTCAGACAAGCTGGAGCTCAACTCTACAGGACAGTCACCCTCCAGGACTGAGTTTGGGCACCCCTGGTTAAAAAATAACAGCACAAAGCACATCACAGTTCTGTTCTTTTTACTACACTGTAGTTTACTGCATTTATGTGTAACAGTGGCATAAACATCAGCATGAGTTTTAAATAACTCAGTATGGTTGGTGCCAAAAACAAATATTCACTATGGTTCCAAAGTTTTGGGTAATTCTGTTTATTTTTTGTGTATGTGCCTACTTAAAATTGTTTCAATATTTTCATCTAATTTGTATATTGTTTTTATTATAGTTTGACTAATTGGAAGTATTTCCTCCTGATATAATGTCTTCATTTTTTTGAGGTTATGCTCAGGATCATAAAAAATAAATCAAAAAAATTTTTTGTTTGTTTTTTCGTGAGATTGTATACTCAAAAAAGGTAGAACTTCTATGCAAAAAGTGTTATGACCAAATATTTTGCGTTCACAACTTTGTGACATAAATCTTTATTTGAATCTATTTGCCACTACATCTTATTTTTTATATATCTGAGGCAGAAATTGTAGTGCAGCCTGAATGACCTCTTTAGCACACAATAAATATATTTAAGGTTTGGTTTTTGTTTCTTTTAATAGAAATAAATCTATCTAATCTTTTTTTAGAGAGGCAATCTGAGATTAAAAGCTGTTTGGTTGGCAAATAAGAGTTTGGGGATGACAAAAGTGACCCTAAGGTATTGTCCTTTCCACTATGATCTTTCAGACTTGATCTCTGACAGCACATCCTCACCTGACTCATGTGCCATCTGTGTTTAAAGGTGGAGGTGAGGTGAAGTGTCACACGATTTACACCAGGCAGCTTGCCTATTCCTTCTCTCTCTCTCTCTCTCTCTCTCTCTCTCTCTCTCTCTCTCTCTCTCTATTGCTCAGCAAGCAGCAAGCAGATTACAATTAAAGAGCTCTGCCTTCTTTGGCCCTGGCTATGGTATCTGCCAAATAACGTGAGGCTTAATCAATCTTAATCTTAATCAACCTTATCTCTTTACACCATCATCACTGGATATCTGTTGACCTGTCAGAAGTCTTGTCTTCTTTGACTTTGCTTTATTCTCCAAACGTCTATAAATTGTTCCCCCCTGCTTGCTTCTCGTGTCTTCACCGTCTGGCTTACTTTCTTTCTTTGAACCTTTAGCCAGGACTAAAATAACTCTACAGTGGATTACAGTGGATTGCACGAGACCTTACTGTCAGACTCACACCACTCCTGTGTTTGACGGATTTACTGTCATTACTCCTCACTCCGTTTTACATTAATTTGGTCAACTTTATGGTCTTAACAGCAACAGTGGTTTCAATAGCTATAGGAGTTTCACATTGTTTGGGCTATTAACAGTATTCCCCAGTATATTTTTTGTAGTTACTTTATCAATGATAATATCTATTTATTATGGCATGATTTTGTCAGCAACTGTACACAACTCAAACAGTTTTCAAATCTTTACATTTGTTATTTGTTATAAAAGATTGAATATTCACTATAAAAGAACACAGAAAGATTATTTCATGGTAGATGTTTTTTATTTAATTTATGGATTATTCGTTGGACTTTAAAGCAGAACTTAAATTTACAATGCAGGGGAAATACCGGTGATAAAATTATTAAGAAAATAGTCATATCAACGTAGTATTGGCCTGTAACCTTTAAGGCTTTTTTGGAGTGTAAGTTCTGCTGTTGGTTGCAGGGGATATCTGGTTATATAAATGCATTAATGTGATTAATCATAGCTTATCAAAAGCTACTTAAAGTTACCCAAATTAATCACCTGGCAGAAAATATCCTAACTCTCTGAACTAGGGTCAAAATTGTTTTCTTTTTGCTTGATATTAAGCTGCACATAGGAATAATAGAATTGTAATCTTAACATTGAATTCTCTGAGCTGAAAATTTTGATTAGCTGTGTATATTGATAAACTTCCTTTCTTGTTTACAGGTAATGGTGTTTGACATCCACAAGTTTTGGGAAGGCTGTTTTTGGCAAATTTGGAGTCCTCAAAGGAGGGTCAAACCCAAGGCTGAGCTTCACTTTTGAGTCAGTGGAGGACAACTAAGAGAACTAGAGGAGGAGACATAGAGGTGAGGGATGCTGAACAAACTGAATCATAATGATGACTGACAGGACTGAGTGGTTAGGCTCCTGTTAAAGCCAAGTTTGAAACCTCATGTAAAGTTTTACCTTTAAAACATAAATGTGAACAAACACATCTATTTGTAAAAGAGAACAGTGTTTCTTTATCCTTAAAACACCATTTTTGATCGTTAGTGGATGCTAGCTGAGTTAGTAGCCAACATTCTTAGCACCGTGACAGGACAAGACATACTTTTCAATAAATAGTAAAATTATAATTTTTTAAAGTATATTATTATTCATTCATTAATCTGGGGTTGCCACAGCGGAATGAACCGCCAACCTATCCAGCATATGTTTTACTCAGCCGCAACCCAGTACTGAGAAACATCCATACACACTCATTTACATCACATACATACATACACTACGGTCAATTTAGTTAATTCAGTTCACCTATACCGCATGTATTTGGACTATGGGAAAAAACAGAGCACCCAGAGGAAACCCAAGCCAACAGGGAGAGAACATACACAGAAATGCCAACTGAGCCAACCAGAACTTGAACCAGCAATCTTGCTGTGAGGTGACAGTGCTAACCACTGAGCCTCCCAGTATAATTCATTCATTTTCTTTTTGGCTTAGTCCCTTTAAAAATCTAAGGCCGCCACAGAGGAATGAACTGCCAACTTATCCAACATATGTTTTTACGCAGCGGATGCACTTCCAGCTGCAACCCATCACTGGGAAACATCCATACACTCTCATTCACACACATACACAATTAAGCCTACCCAATTCACATGTACAACAGGGCTTGGACTTTGGACTTGTGGGGGCAACCGGAGCACCTGGAGGAAACCCACGCAAAAACGGGGAGAACATGCAAACTCCACACAGAAACGCCAACTGACCCAGCCAAGGCTCAAACCAGCGACCTTCTAGCTGTGAGGTGAACATGCTACCCACTGCGCCACCATGCTGCCCTCTTAGAATAATGGTATAATAATAATAATATTATAACATGGTAATACTGTACAATAAGATTTCACTTGTTAACATTAAATAACACCATTGCCAAAATGAACTAACAAGAAGCAATGTATTTTGACTATTAACAAAATGTCATATATGCTGTAGAATAACTTATGCTTAATGTAAAGATTTACATATTTGTGAAGTTATACAGTAAACAATGCATATACTAAAGTAACATTAATAAACACATTAAAGTAATTTTAAAGAGTTTTTCTCATCTCCTATTACCTAAGGACTCAACCTAAGATTACTGAGGATCCCTCAAGGAAGTCCTAATCCAATTATCCTCAGGGGCTAGCTACTCAAGCAAATGTATTACGGAAAATTACTGTTACTTTCAAAAAAGTTTTGTTTAATAGAGAAGCAAGAGATCGGCTAACCTGCCAAGCGTGGCTAATTAAGAGCCATGATGAGTTCTGCCTCCATTGAACAGACAGAAAGTCTGGGAGGAACCAGACGGACACCAGAACTGCACTCCCACAGAAGAAATAGCAGAAAGAAATAACAAAATCCAAATCAAAAATGGAAAAGTCCAAATATCACGTAGAGAAAAGACAGATATTCCATTAAAAACCTGATGGAAAGGTAGATAAGCCTTTGGACAGAATAGTACAAATATTAGAGCCGTAAAAATCCTTTTTCCTTTTTATGGTGGAGAGTTCTTCTTGGTGTGGTGTCCCTGGAGGTTGGAGGCCCGAGTCCTGCCCCACTTTGAAGAGTCTATTGGGGAAAGCCAGGGGAGCAAGAGCCTCTCAGTGTCCTGGGTCTTACAGGGAAAAGGCAGATTTACACACACAGAGAAAGAGAGAGAGAGCAAGAGCCAAGGAACAAGCGAAGGCTAAAGGAGGGGCAGGCTGGGAATCAGAGTGGTGACTTCTTAACCCTCCTTAGCATATAATCCACACATACATGGCAAAAGGTATTTTGGGTTCTTTGATTTATAACATTATGGTCGTCTAACATGCAGGATTGGCAGTTTGAAGTAGAATGAAACAATCACCACTATATAATAAAACTTCAATACATAATATTAAGGATTTGATAAAGTTACTGTAAGTTAGAGCAAAAGCCTGCATGGGTAGCCAAAAAAAGCTCTTCTATTAGTTCTTCTTCTGTTGAAATGTTTAAGATCTATAGTGCAAAAACTTTCCTCAAATCTGGGGGGTTTAAACTGGTGCCTACAAGAGTGCTAGGTTGTCTGTGGAAAAATGTATATAACAAAGGATAAATTAGTATACTATTATTTAAAATCGTTATTATGATTATATGAAAAACTCCAGAGGTTTGAAGATGATGGTGTTAAACTATAAGTGTAATGCATCCTCGTGACAAATTTAAAAATCCTGTGTCAGTGTATCCCTCTTACTTTTCCTGCTCCTCCCTCCCGTCCTCTGGATCTTTCTTGAGTTTATAAGCTTGACTATGAGTGTACAACAGGTGAAAGGAGATTTGAGTTCCCAGGAAGCCCTAAGCCATGATACCTTTGTTCATCATGACATTGTGTCCTATACCAAAACCCATTACTCTTTTCTTAGAGTTGCACTTTTATTACAGGCTCATATTTGTGGGTCAGACTTACACAACTTAAAGGCCTTCCTAAGAAAACTTAGATAAAAGGATGCAAGGTCACCAGGCTGTGATTATGAGAAGCTGTTAGTGGATGTAGGAAACTTGACAGAAGAGAGAAGGAGCTGTGAGGGATCATACAGTGCTTGTGAAGTGGTAAAATCTTCTAGGTCAGAGACTGTGAAGATTAAATCCCAACTAAATCCTTGAAGAGTCCTCCAGGACTGAAGCACTGTGCTTGGGCTGTAATTCAAATATAATTTATTTTAATTCATTTAAATGGTACAAGTAAAAATCTAATGCTGACGATACACAGGGCAACTTTTTGAGCAATGTTGCTAGGCAATATTGCAGAGTGATGTTGCTTTACTACTATACTATTGAGAATAGACAACATTTTACTTTGATTCGGTTTTTCCTAATAACTTGCCGTGTCTCACTTGGTTGACCATTGATGGCATCATTGCCAAAAGCTGAAGGAACATTGCTCAAGGGTTGCCCAGTGTATCATCAGCGTTAGATTTGACAATTAACTACAAACCAATGGCTCAGCCAATGAGTCTCAAGTACAAGACGTCACACAATGACAGATTACAATGAAAGGTGATGGTTCTTTACAATAAGTGTAAAATCCTGGTGAAAAACAGGCCGATTGAAACAAAACACAGAGTCCACAATAATTGATATGGTTTTATTATATGTTTGCCCACAGCAGTGTTTGATTAACCACTTATTTTTAGTAAAATTACAACAATGATATATATTTTTCACCCTTATTTTCAAAGTATAATACAGCTTATTTTATTTTCTACGTATGTGGGACTCCTATTTTGAAAGCTGGACAAGCTTTAAGAAACAAAAGCATACAGGCAGTCTTGTATTGCCACAGAGCATATTACTTTAATTGTTTATAGCTCATCAGAACACACAATTTGGGAAAGATACTGTAGATTATAAGGTTATTCAGTGCCACCCCAAATAGATATTAGGTCTGATTAACTGTATCTTAAGGGTTTGACTGTGAGGCTGAAATTTTTTATTTGTTATCATACATGTTAAACCCACAAAAAAAAAAAACTGACATATGATAGTTTTTATTATTTTTTAAATGGTTATTTCAGAGTACATCATTCTGTGTGAGCATCAGTGACATGAGCTGAGACCAGAGTTCATTAATATTAATGACCCTTTCAAATAAGGGGATAAAATTAGCATTCATGACACCTTTTATGTAGAGAGAACAATTTAAACACAGATGCATTATTTGGTAACTTCAAAGGTCAAAGTTAGGGTTGTGGTATAGTGCACAATGTTAAAAACAATAATCAAAATCTGACATAATTCCTTATATATAATGAGACAAATTTTCCATAAAGAAATTGCAACATTGTCAATATCCATTCATTCATTTTCCTTTGGCTCAGTCCTTTTATTCCTCAGGGGTTGCCACAGCAGAATGAACTTATCCAGCATATGTTTTACGTAGTGGATGTCCTACCAGCTGCAACCTAGTACTGGGAAACACAGATATATTCTCACATTCACACATTACGGCCAGTTCATCCAGTTCATTATAGTGCATGTTTGGACTGTGGGGGAAACCGGAGCACCTGAAGGAAACCCACACAGGGAGAACATTAATTATGTTAACATGCACTCAGCAGTCAACATGTTTTTATGTAACTTACGTAAACCTATTAAAATATATTTATCATGTTAATTCATTTTACATAAATAAATTGAATAAATTAATTCCTTTTTAAGTTACAGCATACAAAATGTACAAGATTGTATGCGCATACATACACTCCCAGTCAAAAGTTCGACATTAAGGCCCAATCCCAATTCTATTTTTGTACCACTACCCCTTTCCCTTGGCCCCAGAAACAGAGTGTGAAGGGGAAGGGATTTAAAATTTACCCCATGAAATGGGACACCACTACAGCACCTGCACACGTCGTCATGTCATCGATCTCTTTCGACTTGTTTGCCTACAAAGTGACTTCTGGCCTTGCTCCTTCTTATCTGCTCTCACTTCTGCAGATCTATGTGCCCTCCAGAAACTTGCGTTCTGTGAATGAACGTCGCCTCGTGGTTCCATCCCAAAGAGGGAAGAAATCACTTTCGCGAACGCTCACGCTCAATCTGCCCAGATGGTGGAATGAACTCCCTAACTGCATCAGAACAGCAGAGTCACTCGCTACTTTCAAGAAACTACTAAAAACCCAACTATTTACTCTCCACTACACTTCCTAATCTGCAATTGCCTCTCTGAATATCACACTAACTGTACAAAAAAAAAAAAAAAAACTAATACTACTAATACTTCCCTTCTTAGACTTTACAGACCTGAAACTTGCCTTTAGTACTTATTCATTGTTGCTCTTAGTTGTGTAAATTGCTTCCTTGTCCTCATTTGTAAGTCGCTTTGGATAAAAGCGTCTGCTAAATGACTAAATGTAAATGTAAAATCTCTTACTTCATATGAGATCAGACGATCGTGACTGCTGTAGTGATTCCAGTTGTGTTATTTTTTTGGTATTAATCTTCAGGAAATCACTGAAGGTAACGATATCATGTTATCATATAACGATATAAGGTGGAATTAAGATTGTAACTTAACTGTATAAGTTTGTAATGACAAAAAATACTAATTTGTGGATCTCCTTACATCCGGGTGCAGTGTGGTCCTGAAAAATCTACCTCATACCCTTAGCCCTACACCTTCAAGCTAAAGAGAATCGGGACGGGGAAGGGCTAAGGGGTAGAATTGGGATTGGGCCTAAGATATGTTATTGTTACAGTTCTACTTAATTTTTATTATTTTTAAAATGTTAAAAGTAAATGATTAGTGTGTCATAACACCTAAAAAAAACATAGTTCTAAGTAGTAAGTTAACCATTTTAAGTGCTACATAGAACCTATAAAGAACCTGTAATGGTTCTCAATCTCCAGCAGTTATTTGATGTGGCCGATTCATATTAATTAGAGGATTTTAAAAAACTTCACATTTTGACCAAAAATGCCTAATGAGCCTGTTTAAAAAGAGTAGCTACAGTTTTATCTTACTGTCATCCTATAACCCCATTTATAACCAATGCCTAATTTAAAATATTAATATGACACAGCACCACAAGTGTCTTGATCAAGGTCACAATGGTGTCAAGAACTGAATGGATCATGAACACATTCTGGCTTGCAGTAAGGCATGAACATCTCCCACCTATCAATTTTAACATGATGTTCACTGTGTGTGTGTGTGTGTGTGTGTGTGTGTGTGTGTGTGTGTGTGTGTGTGTGTGTGTGTGTGTGTGTTTGTGTGTGTGTGTGTGTGTGTGTGTGTGTGTGTGTGTGTGTGTGTGTGTGTGTGTGTGTGTGTGTGTGTGTGTGTGTGTGTGTGTGTGTGTGTGTGTGTGTGTGTGTGTGTGTGTGTGTGTCACGCGAGCTCATGATTGATAGAAGTCCATTTTAAGTTAATCAGATTAGTCAGATTGGGTTGTGCTGTACTGAGCTTCAACTGACAAGCCTCTTACCTCTGATCAGACAGAGAGAGAGAGAGGTAGGGTGGGAAGGGCAGACTGGAGGCCTCAATCAACAGAATTATTTGCATATTATAATGGGAAAACAGTGTTCATAATATAAGTTTGTGAATGCCCACATACTCCATAATAATATCTGATAATTGTGTAGGCCTATACTGTATTTGTGTAAAAATGCAGTATTCTTTTGTCTCCAGAATGTGTTTGTAAAGTTACAGCTCAAAACACCCATCAGATTATTTATTATAGCTTTCAGAATATTGAATTTTCTTCTCTGAACAAAATTTAGCTGTTTTTATTGCCTGTGCCTTTATTGCTCGTTCTCACCGCCCACCGTTCCCACATGCCTGTCAGAATGTACCTCAATCTCCGGCTGTGTGGGTCAGATAAACAGCACAGTGACAGACATGAAGGAAGCAGATCTCATGTAGTGTTACTGAGAAATTCTACATTAAAAAACTTTCCCAATGACTATTTGATGTGTTTGTTGTGGAGTTAGTTCAAGCCTTTTGATGAGTCACATACAATGTCGTTACAAAGTTCACGCACACACACACACAAACACACTTGATTCATTACAAACATGCACTGTTTTAAAAACATTTAAAACTTGTAAAACCGATTCTTGATCACATTTGATGATGATTGATGATGACAGAGAGCTGAATAGATCTGTTAACCCCAGTTGCTTTTGCTTTCGTCCTGTTCTGTTGGTATGATTATACA